ATACATGTAAGCTTTGTATACTTTATATATTTGTGTATCTCATTAAAAAGGAAAAAAAAAAATCTGTTACCAAAAATAGTTTCCAAAATGTTCCACCTAAAAGTCCTTAAGAATCTAGCAGAAGGGCCTCCCGGCGGCGCAGCGTTTGAGCGCTGGGTTGTGAAGCTGCCTGCAGCCTCTGCAGCGCTGGTTCGATCTCTGGCTGCTCCCCGGCCACCAGAGGAGGGTCCCACATGGCGCGCAGACCTCTCCTGCCGCCCGCTGCTCCCCTCAGCAGTGTATTTCGGTCCTTCTGCCTGCTCTGCTCCCCGCTCTGGCTCTGGTGAATTCTCTCACCCTCTGTGCTTCTGACTGTACCCAGTGCTTGTATGTATGTATGTATAAATAAATAAATAAATAAATAAATAATTTAAAAAAAAAAAAAAAAAAAAAGAATCTAGCAGAAGCATTAACTCAAAGTTCCACAGCTCACCAAACTGTGTTTGCAATGTGTAGGCTGATGGAGGAAGACAGGTGTAAACTATTCACTGACTCCTGTATCTAACTGTGTTTCCTCCCTCCATCATAGGCATTTCTTACCCAGTCAGCTCTAGCTGCTGGTTCTGGACCTTTGGAGTGTGGGGAAGGGGCAGGTAGAGGCATTCTTTTTCTTTTTGCCCACTTAAATCATTGCCTACTTTTGTCGTTTCAAAACAACAGAAGCAAAAAAAAAAAAAAAAAAAAAAACCAACAACAACCTATATTTAAAGATATCAGAGTAATTTTATTGCAATGAAATTGTATTGATTTATTGATGCTTAGCCAATGAGGTCACCCAGGTGAGGGAGGGTTAAAGAACATGTTTTATGGAGGAGTGTGACCATCTGTGTTGAATGCTTATTCAGAGGTCAAGTGTGAAGAGACCAAAAGACTTGTCATTGAATCTGGCAAAACAAATACAAATAATTACCTTAAGAAGAGCAGGAGCAGGTATTCATGTGATTGCCTAGACTCTGGAGGTGGAGCGGCAGGGGAGGGGCAGGGGCAGGGAAGGAAACTCCTTCCTATCATCATTCTTCACAACAAAATAATTCCAGATAAATCAGTCATTAAAACTCTAGAAGATATCATGGAATTTTTTTATGACTCTGAAAACTAGTAAATTAATAAAAACAATCTACAACACATGTGCTAGACCATAGGCTCATTTTCTGAGCTTTTACAAATCAATCTGAGAAACAAAATTTAAATTGCAATCTCTTTGAAAGGCAATTGAAAATAATCAAAAGCAAAATGCAATTTCCTTTAACCCAACAATATATAAAATTTCCCAACAGTTTTAAATATTGCAAGTATTTGGGTACAAGATTGTCCATCACATTATTGTTTCTGATAACAAAAGTGACCAGCTAAATGCCCAAAAGGAGATTGATTAATAAATTATGTAATGGAACAAAAGCTATTAATATGATTATTTCTAGCCTTACCATTCCATCTGCTAAGTAAAGAGAATTTTGTCGTGGGTCAATGTTCTCTCTCTCCCTGAGGGAAATATTCTGTAGCTTTTAGACTTCAGTGATGCAGAATCACAAGGAAAACAGAGGGCTTGGAAAAATGCAAAGCTTTGTGGAATCCAGAAAGCTCAGGAATATGAGAAACCATATGGAAAAAGAAAGGTGAATTTATGCAGTATTACTGGAACCATACAAACTTTTCTTATGGACCAGAAATTTGAGACATATTTTGAAATACTTGTTGGTAGTTGAACTGTATTTCATTGACCGAGGCACTATTCTGAGATTGGCCTACATTGTCCTGACTTTGAGAATGTCATATACATATAATGAAATCCTATAGAGCTGGTTAAGTAGCGACATGGAGAAGTATACTGGTAAAATAGAAAAGCAAGCTGCAAACGGTATGTTGTATGTTCCCATTTCAAATGCAAATAAGTTTCCTGGAGGATTTTTCTGCAGTTATAAAGAGGCACACATCTAATAATCTCATTTTACCTCTTGTTTTATTATTGTGCAGCCAATGATTGGTATTTATAAAATACAATTAATATAATAGTGGTGTTAAGTCTTATTCAAAGAAGCCAAAGATCTCTCTTAGGATCTGTAAGGTCAAGAATGGCCACAGTGCAGGTTTTCTGATCCCATGCAGACCGGGTAAAGGAGGAGTCAGAGTCCTCAGTGGTTTTGCAGGTCTTTTATTGGGGTTCAGCGGGTATATGGCAGGCAGGGGTGCTGGCTGGGAGGCTGGCAGGCCTCCCAGCCCCCAGCAAGTCTTCACTCTATCTGGACTCTCTGGCGTTCGTTCTGCTGCTTCTTGGCTTCTTTCGGCTTCTGCTTCGGCTTGTGCTGCTGCTGCTGCTGCTGCTGCTGCTGCTGCTGCTGCTTCGGCTTGTGCTGCTGCTGCTGCTGCTGCTGCTGCTGCTGCTGCTGCTGCTGCTGCTGCTGCTGCTGCTGCTGCTGCTGGCGTCCCCGTGACACCGCCCTTAAAAAGCACAGTCTTAGCTCAGCTGAATCCCATCTACCTAGGCCCACACCCTATTCCAGGTGCCCGCCATTGAGGACAAGGCTCCATCATCTATCCTGATGGCGGAAGGGCAGAAAAGCCTGATATTTTCTTTACCCTACAGGATCTCAACCATGTTAAAACAAATATAGCACAAGGAGGTATACAAATCACACAAGGATATGTATTTCTATCACATGGAGAAATATATTTCTGTGTGTGTGTGTGTGTGTGTGTGTATACACACAATGAGGAAATATACCACAATGTAACATAGATTATCTATAGAAGTTGAAGAAAGTACAAAGATGTATTCTGGTCTCTAAACTTTTGCATATTTTCAACATTTCTACTATAAGCATGGATTACTTTATTAGCAAAAAAGTTTCTTTTAGAAATATAAGTTTATTATAAAAATATTTCCTAGACTCTTGAGCATTGTTGAAGCTGTGTGAAAACCAGAAAGACAAAAAATACTGCTAAAAGATAGTTTTGCTAAATGTTTTGGTGAATAGAGAAGATAATTTGTGGGGCATGGAAATTTTTGCCCATCCTATCAATAGAAATACCTCATGTGGTGCTTGAATTTTTCTACTCAAATCAATTACAGTTTAGGACAGGTTTTATTTTTTCCCCACAAGGACTTTGCTATAGTCCCACCAAAAGCCAGGGAATACATTACAGCAGTAGGTCTTAAACCTGAGTGTGCATTGGAAGCACCTGGAGGAGCTTGTTAAACTCAAAGACCAAGACTCATCCCCACAATTTCTGATTCAGTGGATCCAGGGTAGATTGGAGAATTTGCAAGTCTTACAAGTTCCCAGGTGATGCTGATATTGCTGGCTTAGTGTCAACAATTTGAGGACACCTGCATTACACTATCTACTTTAGCACTTGTGGAATCACCAGAAGTGGGAGAACGATTATCTGATGAGGGCCAAGAAATGGTGGTGAAAGATCTCTGCTGAAGGTCCAGAGGAAATCCCTACAATCTCAGTGCCCAATCAGCCAGGTGGAGGTGCTGAGGAGGTGAGAAAGCAAGACAATAACTGAATCAGTTGTTTGTTGAGTAGTGATGAGAATGTCACCTACATTTGGTCCTACCTGGGACTGGGTTTGATCATTGCTACATTGACATTAATGGTGATTGTGTGTTGCTACAGATTTAGTCTTATTATAAATTGGCTTCTACTGTTTGGAAAAGGGACACTCACCTTCACTCCCTTTACTTCAAAATGGAAATGACTGATACTTTTCAGTGATCTCAGTAACTGAAATCTGAGGGGAAATATTACCAGAAATGCATATAATAAAAATAAGTGCAGGGGCCTCCCTGGTGGTGCAAGGGGTTAAGACGCAACCTATGAAGCTAACCACAACCTCCGCAGCACAAGTTCAATCCCCGGCCGGGGTGCTACCCACATGGCGCAGCAGACCTCTCCTAACTGGCCCACTGCTCCCCTCAGCAGTGTATTTCAATACATCTGCCTGTTCTGCTCCCCACTCTGTCTCTGATGAATCCTCTCCCCCCCCACCCCCGCACCTCTGGCCTGTGCTCCCATTCTTCTATGCATAAATAAATAATTTTTAAAAATAAAAATAAGTGCAATACCAAAAAAAATTATAGTAAGTTTCAAAAATGAAGACGCTTCTTTATGTTACCTTTTGACTTCACCAAGACCTTAAAGCTGCACTGGAATCCTTTCCAGCTCCCCCCCCCACCCCTTCCCCACCTCCCCCGGGGGTCTTCTCTCTGCCAAGCTAGGCTCCACCGGCAGATGGGGCGATTCTAGCGCTCTTGGCAAAGTGGGCTGTGCAGGCGCGAAAACCAAGACTGGGTGACTCAGGGGCAGCGCCCACCGCCACGCTCCACCCTCGCGCTCGCGGATCGCGGCACCACTGGGTCAGGCCACTGGGCGGCACCGCCGGGAGGGGTGCGGCTAGTGCCCGGGCGCCGATTCCTTTTGAGTGACTGGGTTTCTGAAGAGAACACGTCCGGAGCGCCAATAGGGGCCGAAAGAAGCACATACACCGCTGAAGAGTGGGATTTTGGGGGGTGGGGGTGGAACAGTCTTCAAGCACGCCCCATTGGTAAAACCTGGCCCACCATCGCCAACTGGAAAGACAAAAAAAAAAAAAAGGGGAGAAATGAGTTAAAGCATCGAAAAGACACAATCTTGGCCTAACTCCAGCAATGTCCGCCCAGGCCGGATTCCAAACGTTCTGTTGCCTTGGTTTGGGAGTCCCTGGCCACAGGCCGCGTCCCCAGGGGCCACAGGGCGGAGGGGGCTGAGCGGGGACTTGGGGAGGTCCCGGTGCAAGCGCCACAGGGTCTGATCCAGACCCGCCCCGGCCCCGGCTAGGCCCCGCCCCGCCCCGGCTAGGCCCCGCCCCGCCCCGCTAGGCCCCGCCCCCTCCCCAGCACTCTGGGCATCCGGGCCCCTTCGTCCTTCCTGATCTGCGCGCGCAGCCTGCCGCCGGCGCCTGCTCCCTCCCTGTGGTGCAGCATCCCGAAACTGCCCGGGACTCCCGGCCGAGCGGAGCCCAGCGAGCCCAGCCCCGGCCGCCGCCTGCCCCCCGGCAGCATGAACGCGCGCGGCTCAGTCCTCGTCCTCCTGTTGCTGCTCTGTCTGGCGCAGGTGAGTGATCACCGGCGATCCAGGTGGCAGTCCGGGACGGGGGGTGGGGGGCCGGGAGTCCGGGAGGGAGGGCGGCGGTGCAAGGACTGGGGCGCCGCCGTCCCCTGAGAGGGCTCAGGTCCTGCGGGTCCCTGGAAGGTCCTTCACCTCTGCGGTTCCTCTCTCTGACCACGCACTTTCCCTGGGGGTCTACAAGAGGGTAGCAGCTGGGCGCTGCTTATTTGATCTGTTTTGAGTTAATTTCAGCTCTGAATACTTGATTTCTGAGGTTAGGATGTGGGATCAAAGAGGTGTAAAGTGGAGAGAGGTAGAGATGTTATTTATTTAACCTGCCTTTTAAAATAATTCTGCCACCAGCACAGTTTATAATTTGTTGAGAAGATCTGATCACTGTCCCCTGCCCTTTGCCTCTCTCCTAAAGACGAAGATGGGAAGGGAGGTACAGAAAGGAAACAACTCCTCCCTTAGGTTCACATTGCGACAGTCTTAAGTACTTAAATCAGCTTGGTTTTCTAAATAATGCAGGTTACTTATCAACTCACTTTTACATCTTTGTAAACCAAGGCACCCACAGCGGCGGCTAATTGATATGCCTCGTCTCACTGTACCTGCTGGGGGTGGTAGGATGGGGCCCCCAACTTGGTGTCCTGACTCTCTAGGCCTGTTCAGTAGCCTTGGACATGAGCACCTCACTGCTATTTGCGTGTTTACATTTTTCTCTTTTAAAACTGTGGTGGTTTCAGGTGATATGGTGGTGGGAGATTTACCGGGACTATATCTGAGGGGAGAAATCAAATACTGTACAAAAATGAACAACGATGTAAGAAAATTTGAAAGTTTAATTAGAGATAAATCTGTGGAGATCGGAGGCATGGGGCAGGGTGCAGTGCTGATTAAAACAGAACAAGGTGAAAGAGTGGGCCACTGGGAATCCTTTGCCTTTGTGCCTACTCATAGGCAGTCATTAATGAGAGGGTGGTGAATCAGAACAGAAGGCAGATGAAGGAATTTCCCTGGACTAGAGAAACCACTCCTTAAACTGTGTAGTTCTCAGAAGGGGAAAAGCAGTGTTGACCCAGTAAGGGCCAAAAGCCTGGAGAAGAGCTGTGGCTCCTTCCTCCCAAAGCTCTGGGTAGGGCCCCCCCCCAGCAGTGTGGGCTTGTGGAAGAGCAGGTATCTGGTTGGGAAAGGAAGCAAAGGAAAGCAGATTTCAGGGAGGCAGTTTGGGTGGGGTAGGCCATTCTGTGGCTTTGGGTGCATTACTTTTTCAAGGGGGTATTGAATAACATGATATATGGAGACACCTCGTCACTCTAGTAAAAACTTAAGAAATAATCAGTTATGCCTTAAAGAAAATATACTGTTCAATTTAACTAGCGTTTTAGGTCAGGGTCTGGTAGGCAGACTTCACATTGCTAAGTAGCTTTAACTTCTTTCTAAAATCCTTTTACCTCCAGATATTTCCAAGACCATTTATGGTAAAGAGTACCTCTCCTCCTAGGACTTTGGGATAGGTCAGGGATTGGTCATGAGTCTTGCAAAATGCCCAAAAGCCTTGAGATTGTGAATCTTAACTAGAAGCACTCCTGTTATTTAAAAAATTAACTCACATGTCCGCAGGGGCTTTCAGTACACCTTAACAGATTTAGAGGAGACAATTGCTGCTTTCAGAATTCTTAAAAATGTTAGCAACTCACCTGGGTTCAGTCTGGGCACTAATAAAGTTCTGTGATGGAATTAGTCTTTTGTAAGTTTTCAAATGCATTGGAAGTGAAGGGAATTTTGCTTGATTTTTCATTTTATTAGATGATGAATAAATATTAATGGACTTTATGGTTTTTAAATCTTGAGGTCATCCAAATAACATGTACAATTTGTATATATTTGTATAGTATATATTTCTCCTGACTAATTTTAATAAGCTTTTCTTTAGGAACATGGAACATAGTGAGACATGAAAGACCATAAAAATGGCTTTTCCAAAAGAGACCAGGAATGCGTTACACTTTCCACCAGAGAGCATTGAAGAATAACTAACTGAAATTTGAGCTGTTGTGGGTAATCTCCCACTCCTAAATTGATGCTGTGAGTAGACATTTTACTAACACAAGTAATTTTAGGAAAATGAAGCTTTTTATTCTAGTGAGTGAGCAGAAAGAAAATGATGTGCTGAATAGGTCTTTGTATTCCTTCAGTGTTTGTCATATTACCCAGAACAAAGACTCCCTCTGGTCATGAAGACAGTAAGGTCTCTCTTTCTGGGTTGCCCTTCCCCGCCCTCCCTTCTTCCTAAAAGGGATACATTTCAGGGTGTTTTAATGATGACTCGTTACCTGCTGCAGAAGCCTGGTTTAGGCCATCTCTAATCTGATCTCAGGCACCCCCTTCTGCCCTTTCACCCACAGCTCTGTGAAGGGCATCATCTCTTCAGCCAAATTAAATTACTTGCTGCTGAACTCTGCCCGTCTTCCAAGGTCCAGTTTAAATGCTGCATTGTCCATCATATTTGTGAATCCTTTCCCCCATCTACACTGCCTTCCCTCCTAAGTTCTAAATCTTTGTGTAAACTGCTACAGTTTACTGCCTGGCAGAAGAAATCTTTGTGTAAAAAGACCTGGGTGTGGGTCTGGCATGTCATCTTAACCACAGTGATCTTGGGCAAGCCAGTGTCCCTGGAGCCTCAGTCTTCCCCTCCATAGAATCGGTTAACAACTGTTTCTACTTCTTAGGCCGTTTCTGGAAAGACAGATTATTTAAATCGAACTACTACTTTGCGGGCTTCTTGAGGGTAAGAATTTTATTTTTACTGTATCCGATATCACTAAGACTTTTTTACTCCTCTAAATTCCCAAACCACTAGGCTTCAGAATGAGTTTGGGTGAAATGAGGTAAGGATTCAGAGGTCAGTAGAGATCAGACTTGGATTGGTTGGTGGTTTCTGGGTGATTGAAATGGTTAACTATGGCCCAATCGTTTTTCCTTTGCTTAGACTGTGCCTCTTATTTTCAATCTTTGGAATATTTGCTTTGGCAAGAAAATTTGAAAACAAAAAACACCAAAAAATCCAACTCTGCAAATGTGATTTGCAGAGGATTTGAAAGGGAAACTTTAAAATTGTCCTTTATCTTGGTACTGCCCCTTACCCCACAGAGGAACTCAAATCACTATTAGTCACTAATTTCACAAATACAGAGCACTAATCTACTAAAAAGTGGTCTACAAATGTAGAGTGCTGTGCAAATGTTACTATCCCATCAATAGTGGATGGGAAGAAGGGTGACTGTATAAAAAAAAATTTACAATGCACTAAAAGTATTGTAATAAAGATAAGGACCGAATGTTGCTGGGGGTTCATTTTTTGAGCTGAGCTTTGGAGGGTAAGCAAATGCTTACCAAGTGGACAAGAAGGAAACTCCAGAAAATAGGGGGTAACCTAATTGTTAGTAAAAACCGTTCAAGTGCATACTTGAAAAGGGTGAATTTTATGGTATGCCCATTATCGCATAGCTTTTAAAATGGTGTTTGAAATTAAAAGATATTGAAGCAAAATGAGTTGCCTGATTTTTATATAGTACTGCATTGCCGTAACACACCTGACCTTGTTCTAACCTTCCAGAACCCTGCAAAGTAGGTTGATACTGTTTTCCCTGTTTTACAAATGTGGATATTAAGGCTCAAATCTGTTCCAAGATCGCATGGCTAGTACATGCAGCTTGGGGGCTTGAACCATGATTTTTTTAACTTCTATGTACAAATTTCTTCACATTCAAGGTATTATTACCAATTATTCAATTTGGCAGGCTAAGTTAAATGGTTATTCAGCAGCTGTTGAATAAGGCATCTAACTCAAGGCTTGTACCTGGTTCCAGTATGGTTTCTCCAAAAGCCAGTAATAAATCTGGGATGGATTTAGCCTTCTGCCCTACACCATGAAGAGGGTGGGTGGCCCACCGAGGGATAGCCGGAGCACAGGGACCTGAGCTGCACGTGTTGGAAAGAAGAGGCAGGAAAAGAATGTCACTTGTCTGTGCTTTTCAAGTCTTCTTGATGACTCCACTCCACCCTGGTTCTCAACAGACCTCCTCTTCAGGATGTCAGGGATAGTTCAGAGCATCAGAATCCTTGGTTCTGGAGCTTTCCTGCCTAGTGCACCACCAACCCCCAGTCCACACGAACCTGGTGACAAGACAGAGTGAGGTGCATTTGGGGGGCCGTGTGGTTCAAGGGGTTACCAGCTGTCAGCTGGAGCCGAATGCTCAAGAGTAGGGTGACTGTGGCCCCACAGGACCAGTTCAGAGACGACTCCTCCAACAAGGGGACCTGGCCCTGCACCCTGCCTACCAAGGGATGGCTAAGTGGAGGCCTAGAGTTGAAGAGGGATGGTCAGTGGTAGGAGGAAGTGAGTCATGGCCTGACAGCTGCCTAGAGATGACTTAAAAAGATGTAAATAGTACTCATCACTTCTACAAGCGAACAGCCCTGTAGAACGAGGCACACTTGTGTAGGATTATAGTGGATGGGAATCCCATCTCAGGCGCATTGTGAAAATCTGAGGCTCCATCTGTGTATAAACCAAGTTGGAGTTCAAGCCATGCAGTAGCTGGGAGGCCGGGGGCTGTGTGGTGGAGGGCGAGGAGGGAGTTGTCAAGAAATAGAATGTTTGGCATTCAAAATCTTGATTCTCATTATAGGTTTGGTCACTTAGGAGCCATGTGACCTCAGAGTATTTTCTCTGAGCCCTAGTTTGCTTACCTGTAAAATGCTAAGATACTACTCTTACTCCACAGAGAAATGAAGGAGGCAGCAGAGAGACACCACTCTGTGTCTGGCATATGGTTGATGTTCAATAAGCACTTGATCATGAGTTAGTAATTACGTCAGCGGAGTTTTCCAAAGGCAGCCTAGAAAGTAGTATTCTGTTGCGGGTGTTGGGAGCTTCCCCATGATGTGTTTTCCTGGAGTTCCCTATTAAAGTCTGATTTAGAAATTACGATAGTTGC